TACAATGGGTGGTGCACCTACCCCAAAATGGTACCATTGGTTTTGACCCACAGCCATGCTAGTGGAGCCCCACAAGTGGGCAAGGCTCCCAAGAGGCCAGCCAGGGGCAAAAACAAATGGTTCATGCGAACCCAGTTGCTTAGTGGCACCTCTCTATGTTTTTGATTGTTTGGTGGCTTCCAAACTAAAGATTGTCAACCGCAAAAAGGCTCCCAAAACAGCTACAACAAACACTTCTGCGCCAAACGGTGGAATTTGGATCCAAATCGCCTCGGGGTCGATCAATGGAAACTGTGGAGCAAGCTGCTACCCGCGTGCTTTGTGGAGCCGTAATTGTAGTTGGGAACTTTCGTCAAAGGAACCAGCAATTTGCATGGGTCCCCTAGTTTGGAGGATATTTGATACGGGTGTGTCTGCTTTAGGCTGGTGCCCCTTTTTTTATGGCATCAAAAGGGCGACCAGAAAAGCAAACAAGCAAGCAAGGAAGCAAGGAAGCAACCAAACCAAACCAAGCCAGACCAAACCAGCCTACCAACAAACAAACAATCAAACAAACGAACAAACAAGCAAGCGAACAAGCAAGAGGCAGGCAAGAAAGCAAACAAGACGCAAACAAACCAAGGAACACAAAAACACACGAACAAACAGAGAACCAGCAAAGCAACAAAATTAAGCAAACCAACACACGCACACAAACAAAACAAACAAACACACAAACCAATCAAACTAAAACAAACACAATCAATCAAACAAACAAACAAACAAACAAACAAACAAACAAACAAACAAACAAACAAACAAACAAAATAAAGAAACAAGCAAAGCACGAATCAATCCACCAATCAAACTAAAACAAACACAATCAATCAAACAAACAAACAAACAAACAAACAAACAAACAAACAAACAAACAAACAAACAAACAAAATAAAGAAACAAGCAAAGCACGAATCAATCCACCAATCAAACTAAAACAAACACAATCAATCAAACAAACAAACAAACAAACAAACAAACAAACAAGCAAGCAAGCAAGCAAGCAAACAAACAAACAAACAAACAAACACACAAACAAACAAACAATCCAGCAAGCAGTCCAGCAAGCAATCCAGCAAGCAATCCAGCAAGCAATCCAGCAAGCAATCCAGCAAGCAATCCAGCAAGCAAACAAAGCCTGGCCAACACAAAACAAAACAAAACAAAACAAAACAAAACAAACAAACAAACAAACATGCATGCAAGCAAGCAAGCAAGCAAGCAAGCAAGCAAGCAAGCAAGCAAGCAAGCAAGCAAGCAAGCAAGCAAGCAAGCAAGCAAGCAAGCAAAGCCAGACGAAATCCAACACAAAACATATATATATACATAAGAAATGGGAGGTCCCACATTTGCTTTGACATCAAACACATGTTTGCATACTTCTGGCTAAGGCCTTCGGATGTCGAGCGCTTCGACCTCCTTCCCGGCCTGACCAGCTCCTTGCGCGCCTGGATCACCTGGATCAAAAACTGACCCAAAAACGTCGGTTTTTCCACCCGGAGTTGAAGAAGAGCCCGGGTAGAATCATTCAACCTCTAGGTCCTCCAGCAGAGAGGTTAGAATAAAAGTACCCGATTTCTTTCTGTAGTCTACTTTCGTAGGGGAACCCTCCCCAAAGAAGGGTAAAAGGGCACTGGGGGACCTAGACCTGAAATACGGACCTTGAGTGGGGTCGCAAATGGGGCTTGTGAGGTCGCCACGCATTGCCCAAATCTTTTACAAGTCGAGGCCATACAGTTCCCACCAGGAATTGCAAAGACGGCGCACCGGAAATCAAGCCTCTCCTAACCACTCACAAGTCCCCGCAGCCCGGTCAAACCATGAAGTGCTCGACATCCTTTTGCTTTCTCGCCAGCTCTGCCCAACACAAATCGCAAACCGCATTGGCAGAGGCTTTGCGTTCCGGCTCCGTCTTGACACGCCCCAAACCCCAACCCGACATCGTTCGGCGACAGTGGTGCTCTTTTCAAGGATGGCTCCTCTTCCCCCAGATTCGCATGATCATATCTCGACCGTGGGTCACCGCAATTGGCAAGCACCTTCGGCAACTCTCCAAACATCCGAGGAGAAAATCGGTGAACATCGCCCTCAAATGGCCGTGGGTCAACACCAATGGTACGATTTTGGGGTAGGTGCACCACCCATTTTCGTCTATTTTGGTTGGATTGGGATGTTCACTGGGGGTACGGGATTTGGACCCACGGCATGACTCCCGACCTGCCTGCTCCATCACGGGGGAGCGCTTGGCGCCATAGCGCGGCTCTTGGGCATCTAGGCGCGCCAAGGCCTTGGACGCGGCTCAAGCAAAGCGAAATCACATCTAACATCAACACCGGCACCCAAAAGAATCGAAGCCACATTTCCATCTTTCCAACATTTCGGCACACATTTCCATTATCCATCTACCCAAAACACCAACACCGGCACCAACGCAAACGAAAACCAAACCAAGGCAACACCAAGCCAAATCGGTCAGCATCAATGTGCGCAACCCACCTGTCTGAGGGGATATGAATCGGGAGCCCTGAACATTTGGGAAATCTTGGTGGGAAGACTGAAAATGAGAGGATGCCCTCTGGTGTGTTTGCTCCCTACCAACCCCAAAAAGGGCACTGTTTGAAAAGACCATATGTCATGGCATCAAAGAGGTACGGCCCCCTTTTAGACCCTATTTAAAGGCAGCCATGGGCCCTTGTTTGGCAACCTGACAGACGGCGTGCTGTCAAAATTAGGTAGTCTACACTGTTCAACCTCCAAGATCAGAAAACTCTCGACTTGACCCATGGCCTTTGGGCCGAAGTGCAAAGCAATAACTCACACGCACACACACACATTCTGTTCCTGTGTGAATGGCGTTGGCTCAACATTACCCCCCAACCCATGTTCTTGCAAATATGTTGGGCCTTTATAATAACAGCACACACATGTCTTTGAATTAGGGACCCTTAGACATCATTTAGCTGGGGATTGTGTGTGTGTCCACCAGCTGGTTTCGAGGGGGAAGACCCAACTCTGAAAGCTCAGTTTGCCGCTCGCCCGGCTCGTTTCTTCGTCCCGGGCAAAGATGAAGGGCTCGAAGATGCTCTCTCTGGCCGGCTGCAGGGCGCCGGCCAGCCTGCGCAAGCTAAAATCCCGTGAATTCAGGCTGAAGCCCAGACGTTTGATTTGCTTTTCGTGTTCCACGAACATGTTCTCCCCTTGAAAAGCTGGTGTTGAAGTCCGGACACTGTCTGAAACGAGAAAAACAAGAGGCAGAATAGTGGTTGAAGCGCGACCGAAAACAAGCCAACCACTTGGGAGGGTGAGTTTGAAAGCCGCGTCAAAAGAAACATAATATGTTTGCCAAAGCAAACCGATGCCACCCGGAGAGCACGCAGACCCCACTTCGCACTGATCATGAAAAGCAGATTGACATGGAAACCATCCGTTTTTGGCGGCGTTTCCTTTCGGGGAAAGGACGGGCGCCCTATTTTAGCGCCGCCAAAAGGGATGCAGAAAGAGCTGTCCTGCAGTGCTTGGATGTTGGGGTTCCGCGAATTTGCAGAAAAGCAAGTGTTCGACTGGCACAGTTCCAACTGCACAGACCCCGATGCGAAATTCCTGGCTCTGGTGAAGAAGAGTCAACAACTAGTACGCCTGATTCCGGCGGTACACGATCATCATCAAGCCAGCGGAGGTCTGACTATGTCCAACCCAACCGACCAAAAAATCGGGGGGGGGGGGGGGGGGGGGCTCATGGTTATCATCCGCACAACTCCTGGAGACACCCCCAGGCCAACTCCACCCTTCAAGGCTGCAGGCCCCAAACAAGTCAGCCACCTGCCGACCTCTCTCCGATGAAAATGTGTGGAAACCTGTTGGACCCCTGCTTTTTGCACCTTGAAAACGGAACAAAACACGTACCTTTTTGGAGGGGTAACCCTGAAGAAAGCCGTGCTGGCCTATATGTTTTCTCCAAGGGTACCGCTTTCGGGCTTGAACCAAAACCCAAGAAGTCCACCCTTCTCAGGGCCCCCCCCCCAGTTGGATCCGACCCCACGTACAAACAAACAAACAAACAAACAAACAAACAAACAAACAAACAAACAAAGATGTGGCCGCAAGACCCCAGCTGACGGAACAAAAACAAACAAACAAACAAACAAACAAACAAACAAACAAACCGCAAGATGCACCTCGCGGGAAAAATCGGTCCAGCTCCTCCGGGCCTGAGGCGGCGCTGCTTGTCCATCACCCGCGCCTGATTGGACCTTGGCCCCAGACCTCAGCGTCGTGGAGCTTTCGCCCACATCAAGGTACAGGGATCCTTACGTTATACAACGTTATACACCTGAACATTGCCTTGTACATGGGGGTTGTACAAAATTACTTGGCCTGGGGACCCCCCAATCGCTGGCCAATCGCGATCCAATCGCGGCTTCACAGATTCCAATCGCGCAGCAACGTTGGTCATCGCTGCTGCTTCTGTTCGCTTTTTGCTGTCTTATCTCAAGCGCTGACCTTCCTCCATCCATACCTGGAAACTGGAAGGAAGTGACATAGCTCGAATGGGCAGGCCCTTACTGGTGAAATTCGTCCAATCGCCGTCCAACCGCGGTCCAATCGCGCGGCGAAACTTTGATTTGCGGCTTCCAGCCTTTGCCAGTAAGCAGATTTAGACAGCACAGCCTGGGCCTGCGCAGGCGAAATCAACATACAGCTGGCGTTCTAGGAACTTTTGCGCGAGCCCGTGCAGTCAAAATGAGCGAGACGTGCGTCGGCAGCACAATCTAATCATCATGCAGCGTCTAAATTCACAATAATTATGTTGCCCTTTCGCGGTCCAATCGCCGGCCTTTCGCGGCTCGAGTTTTCCCAAATCGCGCGGTTCAAAAAGTTGCCTCTGGTCATAAGTTTTAGACATGCAATTGCGGACGGCCCCCACATGGTGGTTTCCCTTTATTTTGGTGGGAAAAGCCGGGTTTAAATGGTTGCAAAATGTATCTTTACGGAGCCCTGCACCAACCCAAAGCCAATCCACACAGATGAGCGTACCAGCCTGGGAAGCCTCAACATTGGAGAAAACGGCATGGGCCTCTCCAAAACTAGTGGCTTCCATTTGGTTTCACGACCAAGCAACCCAAAAAGCCCTCAAAAACGAACCCTCCATATGGGTATGTTTTTTTGCTGGGTACCCTTTGGTGGACGCCAGAAATATGTGGGAAATCCCGGCGTCGTTTTTCAGGGGAAAAGCGGTTTCCTTTGGGAAATGCCGTTTGAAGCCAAAGATACGAAGTCAGCTTTTGAATTGCTTTTCAAAGGTCCTTTGGGAAGAATCAAATCTCAGGTTGCTGCTGCTCGCTTCCAATCAGGGAAGTGGACGGAGGGTGTCAGAAAACTACCTCCTCTTGAAAGGCCCTTGTCCATGCCCATACTTGGAAAATTGGTAGCACCTAGTGGTACCATATCGGGCGAAACAATTCGTGACCATGGCGTTTCGCTTCAAAGTACCCCACATCCCCATGCTAAAGATTTAAGGGGCTCTCAAAATGGGGGACCCCCCTTTGGCTGGTATTCAAAGGGCAACCCGAAGGAGGCCAACGAGTTTTGGGGAGACCTCTTGAGAAACCCGCCCATTGGGTTCCGGGCCCTGCATCAGGATCCGGTCCAGGTTCCGCTGCCGGTGCATCGCCATCTGCACCCGGGCCTGAAATACGGGGAGCGCGCCCACTGAAAGATGGGGAAGATCGGGCTTTGTTTGCTTCACCATGGAAAAGGCAGGATGCTTGGGGAATCAAGCATTGACAATGCAAACATCTGAAAGGGCTGATGATGCCACACCATAAGGCGCCAATTATGGCCTTGCAGCTGACTGTCTCCTTTGTATCTGAACACCCGCTATCGTGGAACCCACCGAAACCCTCTTAGAGGATCATGATCTTCCGTGAACGTATTGTCATCCCTCTTGCTTTTCTGCAACTTGCCCACTTCCCATCGAAACGCAGGCACGCAACAGGCACCTGCGCTCCGCGCTCGCATGTGTGGGCATTCAAGGGTCAGGTTGGACAAGCGTGTTTCACCAACACGTTGCAAGGCATTCATTGGTCCTCCAAACGTCCCTGACGATTTGAGCCATGGTTCTGCGTATGGGCAAGTCAACAAGGACTTAAACCCAGTTCCTTGTTGGAAAGCATAAACCACCGCGGGGCTTAAGTCATTCAACATTTCAACCCTGCTTTGCCACACTGGCCACGCATTTCCTCATCCATATTATTCTGCAACACCTCTCTGGGTTGCTGAAAGGTGGAGCCCTTTGCCCGCCTTGGCGCCTTGATTCGCCGTCATCGCCCACCACCTGGTCTCCGGCCTCAGTGCGAGCAACCCCAAACCCTAAACCAGCCTTGGCAGCACACACCAGTCCATGGTGGCTAACTTACAACGCCTCAACGGTGCCTCCCTCGGTATCACAGAAAACGAACCATGAACCAGCTATTGGTCAGGTAGGTGTTCCAAAGCAGCGAGTGAAATGAGAAAAAACCCAACTTCTGCTTCTCGGGTCGTGCTCCGAAGCCGGACCTCAAAGCCAAGAACCTGGATCTGACCACAGCGCCCACCCGAAAACTGATTGAAGTCATGGGACCAAAGGGACAAAAGGGACGATTTGATTTTGGACCAGTCCTTGGTTGCAGTTTCGCATGCACGGCTCCGGAAAAGAAGGCCATCTGCTGCCTGAGGCCCGGGCATCTGCGACCGGCGCGCCACCAAGGCCTGCGACCGATCAACCAAACCGAGCCGTGCCAAAGCCGAAGCCAAAGTTCCAATCCAGACGCAAGTCCCCCGGCAACTCAGTGAACCAAGGAGTTGCTTATGAGAGATTCTCAGGGCGCAGCGTGGTTCTGTTCTGTGGTCGTGGCAAAAAAAAAAACATTGCTAATGTGTTTTTGTTTTTGTGTTTTTTTCCTCTACGACCATGAGCAAGTTTGGTGTAAAACGAACTCCACAACCCCATTCTACCTGTTCAAGGGCTTGCGATATCCTCGCAAAAACAAGTGTGAAAACCAAACGGGGGGCCAGATTCCTTTTGGACTCTTCTGGAGGGTGGGTGGGGGGGCTAATCCAGGAAAGACTAGGAAAAGGGCTCAAACGGCGATTGTTTGAACAACCTCCTTTGGTTTCCCTTTAAACCAGGCGAAGGTCTGGTTCCTTAAACAATGTTGCCCAACCATGGACAGGAGGTTCCCAACTTTGCCAAGCGCCCAAGTTGCCCAAGACCCTCTCGCCTCCACTTGCTCCTGGCACTGCGCCGTCAGCTCCCTGCCGGTCTTGTCCTTGCAAAACATCGGCCGACTTTCTGCAGCACTCAACCAAAAGACAGTGTTTCACACTTACGTTTGATGTCTCCGGTTGGCAAACCAGCAACAGCTTGTTCCTTGCAGCTAGCAACCCAAACCAAACAGTTCCACAAAAATGAATGGCCAGGAAGTTTGGTGCCGAAACCTGGCTCACGGTGAGCAGCCTGCCGTCCAATCGGCTCTCGTTGAGTGGCTGGTCTGGGTGCCAAATAGGAGGTCTGTTTAAAATGATGCCTCTCCCATTTCGCAAACCTCGTGGGAAAATAACATGGGCATGGGTCAAAACATAACCATCAGGGGATCACAGGTTTTAGTCTTTGGTTCCATTTAACAGGGCTCCATTTTGGGTAAGCATTTTTGACCCACAGCCACATGTGTCGGCCCCTTGACGTATTTCCCCATGCCTGTCCAAACCCTCCTGCTTCCAGCTCTTGGCCATAGGACGTGGGGGCGGCTGCGTTCTGTACCCCACTGTATCACTGTGGCCCCTCTCATACCCGCCAAAGACATTCAAATGCGGAGACTTCGGAAGCCCCTTCTGTGTCCGCCACTTCTGCTCAGCCGCCATGCCAGCATCTTCAGGCAGCATATAGTGCAAACCCAGCCGGGAATGCCTGAACAGTGTAAGTTAAGGGAAAGACCCTCGCTTTCCGAACACCAAATACCGTCTTAGTGAAGTCTGGTTCATCCTTGGCCACTCCCATCAGTGGATCAGCTGCTCTATAATATGCTACCAAACAGGTTGATCACCCAGGAGCTTGCCAAAAATAATCGTCAAGCGCGTACCAGCTGCCAGGCTCAGCCAAGTAAGCTGCGATCTTCTAAAGCTGGATGGACTAGATTCCCAACCATCCATACCATCTGAAACAGACGTCAGAGCTCGCCGAGCCCCCTGGGGGCCCCCGCCAGCATCAGCCGCACGCTGAAGCCCCGCACATGTCGCTGGATGCAGGCAGCCGCATGATTACAGCCTCGGCTGGGGCTCCGTGCGAGGCGCCAAATGAGGATGGCTTCAACTCAAACCGGCGGGGCGGCAAGGTCGCCATCCCGGAAAGCTTGACTCTTCAGGCATCCGTGGCTGGGGGAGTTTGAAAGGCACCGTAAAATCCGCCCCACCCAAAGGAAGCTCACCTTGAATTGGCCAAGCAAGTGATGTTCAAAGCCACAAAAACGAGGATATCTTAGGTGAAAGGTTGCAAGGCAATGAGGCGGCCAGAGTTTGGTTGTGTCGGCTCAACAGAAACTGTCAACAAAAGTTAGAAATGGACGTTTGATGGCGGAAGGGGAAAGAATGATGCCCCAATTTCATGGTTGTGGAACACGACCTTTTGCGATACCAAACTGGGACTCCTGACCTCTGCCAGCACTTCAGAGATTGGAAAGCTTGACTGAAAGTGGGACTCGAATTTGGCAACTTAAACCTCCCTGTTCTCACTGAACCCCCAAGTACAGGAGCTTTATGGCAGTGGCTCGAAGAAAAAAAATGTACCAAAACGACAGCTTGGAAAAAAATGGAACCCAAGACTAGAACCTGCGTAACCCTAGCTCCTTAATTTTGAAATACACCCTGTTTTAAGATCTTCTCCCTTATTGAAATACCCAGGGTCACCAGGTATATACTCGAGGTAACATGAGGTAATCCTTAGCTCCATATCCCCGGTGACCTTCTCTGTGTTTTTTTCCCCCGACAAGTGGATCTCGCTCAACGAGCTCCCGGCGCTTGAGCCACTTCCGGTGCACGGAGCTGTGCCACACCTGGCGCTGGCTTCCTCCAACTTGGCAAGGACTCAAAAAAAAAGAAAAGGAACAAAAAGAGGAAAAACAACAACCAAAAAAAACGGTTGCAATGGCAAGTCCCCTTAGGTCTTGTTTTTTCTCTCCGCCTGTCCCTCTCCCTCTCTCTCGCCTTTCTCGCTCTCTCAAAACAAACAAAAAAGGTGCACCTTGTACACTTCTTTGCAAAAAGAGGCTGTTATCGAGAAGCTAAAATCAGAAGCCAGATCCGAAAACCGGACGCGGCTAGCCGCCCAAGACGCGTCAGCCCCTAGTCCCAAAAGCGCCCGAGGCATGCGGTTCCGCCCGCCGCGCCCGCTGGATCTTCAGCACACAGCGCAGCAGGTGCGCCGCCCGCAAGTTCCACTTCCACGCCTCGACTGGAGATTTTCGGCCAAGCGCAAAGCTCCTGAAAACCCTTTGGGAAGTTCCCCTAGTTGGACCAACCTTCTCATGGTTCAACTAAATATTTTTGTTGCAAGAACCCATATAAGAGAGACCAGTCGTAGTGCTGCCTCGACCTGCTTCCGTGCTTGAGCCACTTGAGTTCCAAATGGGTGATTCTGAGAGGAATGGTTCTGTGCCCGGTGTGGGGCTCTCAGCAGTTTGTGTCAACCTGCTGTCTTTTTGGCCCACCTTACGCTGCGGAGATTGAATTAAAGAACCCACTAAACCCGGGCGTCTTTACCAGAAACGTCCTTTTCGGGGACCTTGTTGGCGCCCTCCTTGATACTCTTGTTAGCCAGACGCCCCTCTCCTTGTAGTTCCTGAGGATCTTCCACGCGGCATTGTCCTTGCGCATGATGCCAAGCGCCTCGGGTTTCGGACACCCGAAACCCTAACTCAGCTTTCCCCCTTCCCCCCACTGAAAGCGCCATTTCGATGGACCACATTTCGTGAGCCTCAAGATGTGCAAGGATGTCAAGAGTCCCAGACACCCTCATCTAAATGCCCGGTTGTTTCCCAGCGTTTGTTGGGGATAAACCCGACACCTGTTGGACCTTCCCAAGTCATCGGATCCATGCCGCATGCCCACAGAGTGTCACCCGTCCTGGTTCAACGGTGTTTGATCCCCTTCCAGAAGGCCATTCCAAGCTTAAGCTCAAAGCAGGAGACATGCACCCGGCGCATGAAATGGCCTGAAGAAAGCTTGCCCCTCCCCGAGGCAAGCAGACGTGTCTCGGATCGGTCCAAACCTTTCCTGCAGGGATGTGTCCTAGATTTGCTAGCACCTGAGATGAAGACATCCCAGTGAAAATTCAGGGTGTCTCTGAAAAAAACGACCCCAAGTGTCGTGCCTGGATCCAGTGGTGCCTGAACTACCTCAAACTGGATTGGTTTTTGACCAGACCAGCGTCTTCCGCTTTGATAAGGGAGCATTCCCTCTAAAAGCTCGGGGCAACAGGGCCTCTCCCCATGCACATTGCGCGGGGCCGCCCGCACCACACGCACCAACGGGGCCCCCGGCACTGCGCAAGCCTCGCCAGAACCGCTGGATCCGCATCTGCGCCGAAGGTGAACGACGCTTCGAGTCTCCAGATGGCGTTGGCGCCAGTTGAGTTGTCCCAAGGTTTCAGACGGAGAAATGGATATGGGTCAAAATTCAACCACTAGGGGACCGCAGGTTTTAGTTCATATTTCCATTTACCAGAGTTCCATTTTGGGTACCTATTGTTGACCCACACCCAAGTGTAGTACGCTCCGATGAAACAGAGGGTCCAGAAAGATCAAAACCGCGGTCACTCGTTGGGAAAAGTGCACAGGCAACTCGGCGCCCAGTTGGAATGGCCCAGGCGAACGTGTTCTTCTCTTGGGGAAGGCTCCATCAACTGGCTCAGGGGGGTATGTCCGACTACATCTGGGTGTGTCCTTGGTATGGGTATCTTTCTTCGGCTTCTAATTTGTCTTTAAAGGAACACCAAACCACCTGGTGGTTGTCTGCTTGGTTTCCCGAAAAGGACAACCCTAGCACCAAGGCCCGGGCCGCCGGAGCGATGGCATTCTGCTTCTGGCCCCGCAACTTGATGTAGCGGTATCGCCTAAGGGAGAATAGGTAAAGCTCGTCTGCGTGGGTGCTTTCAAGTATATCCGGGGTGGTTCAAATCTCCGGCATAACTACTGCCTCGTGTTGAAGGGGATTACCTTCATATCACAAGAAGTGGCAACCTACAACCACATCGTCCACCACCATGCCCGGCGCCAGCAAAGGGAGGGGGGTGGGATTGCAATTACTTTGGGTCTAATCATGTTGCTGGCAGGTCACAAAGGAGGTCAACCGGATAAACCGGGCTTGGGTTGCTTGGCGGCCCTTTTCCGGTATCCCCCTTGAAAGGCTGTGGGTCCAACAAGGGGGGTCATAGAGTCATACGTATCCGCCACTTGCCGGAGCCAACCCAAAAAAGGAAGGAAGGGCGCTCCTTCTGATCTTGGTTGACGTTGGAAGGGGAGCAAAAACTTAAATTTTAGCAGTTAAGTGAAGATTGCCCACTAAACCACAATAAGCAACAATGTAAAATGGTTCCCAACAACAACCATGTGATTGACACCGGCACGCAACTGTTGGTTTCTGCGCAAAGCACGCATCACAAATGTCGACGGGATGACGAAGCACCAGGCTCGCCATTCTTTGACCAGTTGGCCTGTCCATTTCCGGGAGGCTTGGTCTTCCCAAGGGTTCGGACTCAGCCAACATTGCCCCTGACAACTCTCGAAATCAGAACCCGCAGAACACACACACACACACACATGCACGCACGCACGCACTCACGCACGCACGCACGCACGCACGAACGCACGCGCGAACGCACGCACGCACGCACTCACTCCCTCACTCACTCACTCACTCACTCACTCACTCACTCACTGACTCACTCCCTCCCTCCCTCCCTCCCTCACTCACTCACTCGCTCGCTCACTCGCTCGCTCGCTCACTCACTCACTCACTCACTCACTCACTCACTCACCTTATTTCACCTCACCTCACCTCACCTCACCTCACCTCACCTCACCTCACTCACACATATACACACATGCGCGCTCACACATAAAGTGTTGAGCTGCCAAGCTCAAAGGGAACTACGGTGCGAGATTTGAATCTATCCGAGCCCCCGGCTGCTGGATGGCGACGGCCGCCCGGTGGTAAAGCACGCCTCCGCCAGAAGCACAGTCCACTAGTCACATCCTCAACATGATCCTCTAAAGGCCTGAAAGGGAAACCAACCTCAACAGAAATGTTGAGAACCCCGGCAAGTTTCACTTGAGGGGCCCAGGGAAGGGGCCACCCTAAACTTCAGACCGGCCATGGCATGGATTTAAATAGGGGGATGGGGGGTCAAAAGGGAGTATGGCTGTGCGTTTGGCGGGTTTGTTCTTCTCTTGCAATGGGTTGCGAATTCAGAACTATGTTTGCCACATGAAGGGCACTCCACAAGAGACGCGCGCTTGGGGCGAAAGTCTCGCCCGTTGCCAAAGAAAGCTGTCCATGTGTCAAGCTGGAGGTGACGTGATCTTGTGTGATGGCTCTAAACTGAAACTACCAACCCAAAGCAAAGAGGGCAAGACTGCGGATTCCATGTGCCGCACTCGTGCAAATTGAAAGCTGCGTCACTGTTCAGCAATGGCGTGACATCTCGATGAGCTATGTCATCTCCGCGATCGTTCCATTCGAGAAACAAACACGTAATCTGAAAGTTTGAATTAATACAACACATATGAATATGTTCAGCAACCTTACAAACCAGACATGACCCGAGAAGCGCACCGCTTGAGCGCGAATCGAAACTGCGGACTTTGATGCGGAAGTCGATCTGCCAAGGCGTCTAGAGAAGCAGCCTCCACCGCCAAAACACGAAACAAACGCACATCAAGCACAAGCTTAACTTTAGAAAGAAGATTACATGTTTCTAGCCCAAGGATTTCGGAAAAACCGCAAGAGGGCGGTTGACGCTTCTCAGCGAGATCCACTCGCGCTCTGGGCATCCGGGCGGAGGTGCACACCCCGCAGCACCATGTGCAGCAAGACCACCGCCAGCCTGCAGTTCAGCGGGTCCGCGGGCGCCGAAGAGATCGAGCCTGCCCTTCCGACCATCCTCCCAAATCTGGAATGCACAAACAAATAGATGCAGGAATGCACCTTCTTTTTCAATGCATGCTCTGCTCCGGCCAAACAAAATTGGTCGAATTGGCGCATAAAGTCAGGTTGGAGATCCCAGAGTTCTGGAAGTGGATGATCGGCGTTCTTTGGGAAAGTGACCTTTAAGGCCACTCTGGATGCCGAAAGATCATCCCAAACGTGTTTTCTTTCGGCCCAACCAACATGTCCGAGAGATTCACACCCCGAGCAAAACAAGGGTTTCGGAGGGCCCTGAATCTGTCCAAATGGAATCTGCCGCGTATGTGTGTGTATGTTACAGTATGTTGTTTGGGCATGGTTTGTAGTGGGGCACATCCTCGAAAATGGTTGGACACAACCCCCCTTGTGAATGATGTCCGCCGTTGGGTCCATGATGAAAATTCAGACCCATTCAAAAGGTGCAAGACGGAACTGGAAGCCCCCAAGGCTGAGTGGGACGGGCTCGAGTCGCGGAGACATACCTTCGCCCGATGAAGGGTCCAAACAAGAAGGAGGGCTCCTTTCAAAACCATGTTGTTGGTTGATGGGGGCGTCACTCCTTGTGGTTTCACAACATGCTTTGCGTGGTTTTCCGTTTTTCATCGGAACATTGGTGTGGTTCTCCGTGTTCAGAATCTGTTGAAGGATACATCTGGGCACCTTTACGAGCTGATTTGGAGCCCTGATTTTTCCCCATGCGTTTTCCAGGGGGCATATACTCACCGGCCATCCGGTCAGAACATATGGGTGGTGTCCGGCAGACAGAAGCAGCGCCGAGCAGAAGCAGCTCGCCGCGAAGGCCGGGCAGGCGAGCAAGTTACACGTGCGAGGCGGGCCCCGTGCAAACTGGCCACAGCCGAAGCCTTGTATCCACACCTGAGTCATAATCAAAACCCGGCATTAAAATGGTCTACCCAGAACCATGTAAAGAAATAAGAAGGCGGCCGCAGCTATTTATGGTTGGGAGTGTCCCTTACTAACCTTCATCTACCCGAGTTTTGATTGTGGCTCACCTGTACAGCGTCCAGCGCGACATGCAGACGACGAAACAGATGACTGGTCCGCCAGAGGCGCCATCCGCAGGATCAGCACCACACCCAAGAACATGAGGTCATCGACAACGGCCAGCTGCATGACGCAGCTGAGGTTCTGGCACCGAGCCTCTGCAATCCATCCCCAAGCGGGCAGGGCCCCGGCACAAAGGAGCAGTGGTCGTGCAGAGCACGGTCCGCCATTTCGAAGAGCTTGTCCGTCACCTGAATCGATTTGTGAAAAGAGACGTCACGGCAAAACTGTGCTTGTCCATTGAACATCCAGGGTACCTTTTCGGGTAGCCCATATGTTCACTAGATGCCAGGGTTTGGCGGAGCGTCAGCGGGTACAGTGGTCGCATAGCCGCTTTCCCATACTGCCAAGTCATATTGCATTGGGGCCCAGTTTCTCTTGACCCCTGTTGTGTTGTTTGGCCCCATGTACCAAAGGAAACAAGGGATCAACTGGAAATACTGGGCCCCAGTGCATGGCAGGCTTCATACTATCACAACGCCAGTGGCAGGAAAAGGCAAACCCGTTTTTTCAGATTAAAACTGGAAGAATGAGCTCATGAAGAGAATGTGTAACTCGGAAAACAACAAGTTTCACGATGTTGATCGCATGGAGACAAACCTAGGTCCTGCGAGCTGTAAAGCCCGTCGGCTTTTTTTGCCCAAAGGCCAAAGGCGAGCAAAAGCGCCGACCGACTCAGTTGAATGGCTGTGAACTTAAACAGGGAAATACCTCACAAGTGGTTGGTGGACATGAATCCGTACATTTTGGCTCAGTTCTTAAAATACTTCAGAAAGCGCATGTCACATGGCGTATTGCCAGGAGAAAACCAAAAGGACATCGTAGGAAACACCTTGATCAAGAGCCAGAGGGCCGGCAACCTAAGGAGGCAGGCAGGCAACTCCAACAAGCTACAACTCCTGGCAGCTGGCAAAAAGCCAGAGGCTAGGTGCCAGGCAGATACAAAGCGGTTTGCTCGCATTCCTCGGAGCAAGCGTCGGGGGATCTTCCATAGTAGTGTTGTTGCCAGAAACAAACAACTTTGGATAACCTCCCTTGCAACTTGCAAACGCTAAGAAAACCTACAGTCTCCGAGGGTTGCCGTCACCCCCTAATCCACCCTTGTCCTGCCCAGGGTTCTGGTTCAGGGTTTAGGCTTTAGGGTGAAGCTTTAGTGTTTAGATTTAGGGTGTAGGTTTAGGGTTTCGGTTTTAGGTTTAGGGTTTGGGTTTAGGGCTTAGGTTTAGATCTCAAGTTTAGGGTTTAGGTTTAGGGTCCAGGCTTAGGGCTTAAGTTTAGGGTCACGTGCCCCTCTGCAGGCTAGCTAGTGCATGTCTTAGAAGCTCTCAAGAAGTATCGGCTAGCTTGTCCGAACGGCGCATTGAGCCTCCGCCTTTCCACGCTTGTCTGTATGAGCCTGAGCCTAATCCTGGCTACTTCGATCACGTGCTTCAGGCGGCTTAGGTCTTTGGGCAGGGCGTTAGGGCGCAGGCAACCCTGAGGGCTGACCGTAAGAAAAGGCCATGAACAGGATTCATATCTTCTTTGGCCAGCCCCACCTGCCAACGCCCCGGCCCTCAGCCAACTCTCCAGCAGCCCAGCAGCCCAAACCCTAAGCCACCCCCTAAACCCCAAACTCGGAACCTGAGACCTAAAAGCAACCGCAATCCCTAAAACAAAAACTGAACCTAAAACTCTGGACCCTAAGCCCTAAAACTTGAGCATGCACACTTCTAGCCAAGTATGGCAAAAACAAAAACTAGCCACCCTACCTGACTCATCATATGCCGGAAAATGCTATGTGATGAGCCAGCAAAGGCCTCAACTTGTTGGGGCCAGGAAGTCGGATGCTGGCATGGGGCTGATGGGCGCCATCACTTGGTTCTTGTCTGTAGGTGAGGCATGTCCTTCCTCCAATTCTAAGTGCTATCGGAGGAATAGAGAAGAGGAAGGACATGGGATAAAGACAAGATACAAAGAGAACAAGTGTGGACGGGAGTTGTCATTCTCTTTCCCGTCCTCCCCTCCCTATCTCCTTTTCATTTGCAATCCTAATCTTGGAGAGTGCACGTTCACGAGAGATAGGACTTGCCTCTCTTTCCGGAATTACTCAAACACTTTCATTCTCATAATCCTTTCTTCAGGAACAATGATGCCGGGAAGTGGAAGAGGCATGACATTCCTTTCCCATTCCACGCTCTCATCTATACCTCCGGTGCGTGGTTGAGGTTGGGAAAGGAATGAGAGACGGTCAGTGTCTATTACTAGCCATCTCACAGTGACTCTTGGTCATGATTCACTGAACAAGTGAAGAACTCATCCAACAAGCTTAATGTAACTTGGAGCTCGCGCGCGGCGCAGTCATATTAAGGGCAGATCATATGGTTGTCAAGCTCGACCAAATCCCAGAGCCAGCGCGGAGAAGGGCAGAACACGGCCCGCAAACTCGGGAAACTTGTGGGACCGAACCATTGAGGTACATCACAGCTGGCCCGAAGCCTCTCCCCGAAGCAGCTCTCTAGGGACGTCTATTTTAGGAGACACTCATACTGCGGATGGACGAAAATCTGCACCTAAGAAACCCTGGAATGACGACTCCCCTGATCCACAGTATGCTCTCTTGGGCTCTGGGCATCTTTCAATCACCAATCGCCCGATCCGCTCCCTTGACAGTTGGAATCGCTCGCCCGTTTCAACAGTTGGACTCTGGCCCCCCGATTCCATCACTCGGGTTTCCTGGGCTTCCCACCACTGGCCGCTTTTGGCGAGCCGCCCGTGGATCCTCGAGCTCGGTCCAATGCCCGAGGGCTCAAGGGCTCAAGGGCTCACTTCCCCCACGCTGGGCCCACCCCGGAGTTTGGTGCACTTCTTTCCAGCTTCCGTTTGGGGATGCCGATTTACAGGGCCCTTTTGGATATGGCGAGTCTCGGCTCCTTGCTGGAGGCTGGTAAAATGAAACGACCGCACAAGGGCTTATGTACCAGGGTTCCAACTTTGATTAGCCCAGGGAAGGTAAAATCAAAGGACTTTGTCTTTTGGAGAAACATGTATCCCAAAGCTTGTCTTAGGCTAATAAACAAAGGGGATCCTGGGGCCAAGTAAACAGTGACTGAGACCACTCTTTCTGGAAGGCCTGACAAGCAACGGGCCTTGACAACACCTTGGTTAACATAATGAAAGTGGGGGGGAGCTTTATGGTCCTAGCCGTCCACAAAAGGGGCGATCCCGGGGCGATCCCACTGATTGGCAACCGAAAGATCCGGGTTCAGCCCGCCAAAACGAATGCCTCATCTGACCCAGCTTCTTTCACGTACGAAACAAAGGGGTGTTACAGGCCATTTTGTTCGGCAAGGCAACGCATGACGCACTGGACAAGTCAAAGCCCAGCTCCGACCTGGGAAATGGCCGCTTCCTACGGTACCGAAGTGGTTTCCCATCTCCATGACTTCTGAATCTTTTTATGGGGATGCCCTTGGCAGCACTGACAGCCCTGAACCCAAATTTCCCACAACCCTGCGCCTTTGCCGCACATGGTGCAACAGGCCCTGTAGTGCATGGCTTCCCCCTTCGGACTGGTCGCACACCCAAGGATCCCCCCCTCCCCGACCCGCGCCGGGCCTTTGGCTAGCACGCTCTGCATGGCTTCGTCCTGGAGCCCCGTCCATGGACCACATGGGGTCTTGCACCCAAATAAACAAATGGCTCTGGGTCAAAACCCTGTACCCCTGTCAACATCAGAATAGGTGGCAAATGGATGTTCATCCACCCCAAAATGGAGCCATAGGTCACCAGGCAGTTGGGAAGGAGGGCGGCAACTAGCTGAGGCAAGGAATCCAGATCGGTTGACATTCTCAAGCAAGCAATCACCGAATCATGTTGTGCCAGCACAGGCGGCCTGGTGACCAAGCCCAAACCAGTCTGTTGACCTGAGACCTCCATTTAATCTCTGGTTTTTGGGCCTAAACTGATTTGGGGTCCCCTGGCCCATAATCTTGCAGAATTCTGCAACGGGAAAGGCTGACCAGTCTGGTCTTCTGCCAAAACAGGGGGAAAACGCTGGCGGAATGGGCGAAGTCGGATGCATACACGTCCAAGTGCCCGAAATGCAAGTTGCTGTTCGTTCCACAAGGATGGGGCTCAATAAATCAAACTCCCGAACCAACGCAAAGGCTTGTTGCACCGATTCACTGTAGCAAACGGAACAACATTTGCATATTCATTCCGTTGCCTTTGCATAAACCATCAGAAAACCAAAGCTGGAACTTGGCCAAATCTGTGCGAAACCTTCAGCCAGAGGCAAGGACCAATGCTTGGGTAATAGAGTCTGTCTGTCCACTCACACAAGACACTCGCCATGCAGAAGACGCTTCTGTTGCCCTTGGAACCAATGGTTTGGGGAAGGGGCCGTCGGACCTCCCCTGTGCGGAGATCTCGCCTGATTCCTCATGAAGTACCCCACCTGGCCGCGTGGGACTTTCTGATTTTTCTGATTCCGCCCCCAGAAAGAATCAAAGCTCCCTTTAAAAGAGACCTGAGAAGGGAAAGTGGCCTTTGAAGAGTCGACAACCCACTTTTCGCAAGAAAGCCCGACCCGGTGCGGGGCGGGTTCACCCAGAAATCAGCATGAGCCCATTCCGTGTTTATTGAAGCGAAGGGTGACACCATTTCACGAGACCATAGCGTAGT